GCGTGGATTCAACGGAGGAGAAACAGAAACTGCTTCTAACAGGAATCCTGGATCAACTCTTAGGGATGGCGAGATCGAGGGTCCAAGAGGAATCCCTCCTGTCTCTTCTGGCCCGCCCTTCCCTCTGGACTGTGCAAGCGCCCCCCCTTCCCCCCCTCCCGAGTGCCCGGCCTTTTCATGGGAAGGCAGGACGAAAAGGGGAGGGAGGGACCTACTCCACAACTCCGTTTTGGGAACCAGAGGGGGCCCTGGTTGTTCCTGGCCAGTGGAAAGCTGCGGGGGGGGGGCAGAAGAGTCCTTCCATTTCCAGGGCTGGTTCTCAATCAGGAGCCCCTGCCAGGTTGCCCTGGTGTAAGGGGTCAGCCAGTTCTCTGTTGGGGGGTGAGGGGCACCTCCTTTCCACTTCATGATCAGAAGCTGCCACGGAGCCAGCCAGACTGTCTGTTCCACCCAGCTCAGGAGAGTCTGCTCCCGTGTCCTCATAACCTACCACACCCATCATACCCAGTGTGCTCTCCCAGTACATTGAACCACATCTCCCATCACCCTCGCCCCAGGCAGCATGGCAGCTCCCCATGCCTTACATCAGAGGATGCTCCGATGGCTCTCTTAACTGATCCCTCCTCCTTTGGACTTGGGGGGGGGTCACAGCAGGACAGAACCCCAGTGGTTGCCTGGCCCAGACTCCCACTGACAACGCAGGAAGAGGGTGGGGACGGAGCCTGGTTTGCTTATTGATTGGCACACAAAGGACGTGCTGATTTGCACACCTCTTCTGCTCAAAGGCTTGAACTGCTTTTATCCTCCTTCTATACTTTTTTGGGGGGGCCTGGGGAAGGAGAGAAGATTCTTGGGAAAGTCTTTAGGAGAATCAGAAAGAAAAAAAGAGAAAAAATGAAGGAAGCGTGAGAACGGGAGGGGGGAACCCCTTCGCTCCCCCCCAAGTCAGCATTACCTCCACGGTCACTATGCCAACGCTCACCAGCACGGCCTGGAATGGACTCCCTCCAACTTGCTTAGCAAGCACTGGGTTCTCAACATGCCGAAATGAAGGCAGACACCACCACCACCACCCGCGCGCGGCCTTGCCTTCGGTTCTGTCGTCAGGGCGGTGGTGGTAGGGATGGGGAGGTGCCTTTGGAAATTTGGTTTTGATTGGCAAAGAAATTATTTCACTTTGATATCAGCAGGAGGTGAAGAGAAACAGGAAAAGCAAGGCTGACATGAAAAACGGTTGTCTCTTCTTTATTGATCTTGCATCTACCCTTGAAGCCCATCATTATTCATGGTGCTCGGCTCGGATTCTCCTGGAGGATCAATAGGGCTTCTCTGGTCACGTCACCTGCTCTTTTCCTGATCCAAACGGTCCCCCTGGCCCTGTTTCTCACATGAAGAACAGGCTCTGTTCGGTTTGAAAATGGGGATGTCGGGAAGCCGCAAACATCCTTCCCCTTTTAGGGGGCACCCAGTGCTGACATCATCATCCAAATCTCAGAGACAAGTAACGAGTCCCAGCACCTCTTTATGGAAAATACTGTTTACTGTCGTGAAGCCATTCATACACACATCAGCGCAACATGTTCCATTCAGAACTCAAAAGCATCTCCTCCATAGAGACTGCCCAACCCAAATGTACAGTGTGTTTAACTTGGTATTGCACAAGGAACTCCTACCATTTACAACTTCCCTTAAATACAGTGCATTCTGTTTGCCATAAGCCCGTATTTGCCGCAAGCATTGCAAAATCTAGGTGCCCTTTTCCCTGAACAGAACATGCAGGGAGCGACTTGGTCAAAGGCTGTGGAAGATCAGAGGTGCCCACCCACCAGTAACGAGAGACTGAACTTCCGGCAGGGCCTCTGCAGCTGGGAATCTTTGAGAACAAGATACAAAAACCCGCCCCATCCTGAACCATCAGTATTTAAACCTCTTTCTCAAAAGAAAAAAAAAACATTAAAAAGTTTTGTTTCCTTATCTAGGGAATCCCATAATCTAAATCCAGAATTAAAGATTTGAAATCTGGATTAAAGCAAATATCAAGATAACCTTTGTGCCCTCCTCTTCTAGTTTTCCTTTCCAAAGAAATAGAAAAACACAGACCTTGGGAATACCTAGTTGTTTCAACTACAACTCCCTGAACCTGGCAGCCAGCAGTGCCCATGTCTTGCTGCAACCAACCTACATTCTGTAAAATCCTACGTTACTTTTTTGTGGTCGACTCCAGTGGGTCCTAATAAATTGGGCGAGTAAATTCCTCATGTGCAGCATCTCTGTAGCTCAAATAAAGCCACTCTGCCTCTAGGGAAAAAAACAAAATTGCATGCAAACGCCACACAGAGAGTCTTAAATTCTTGCTTTACAGGACATTTTGAAAGAAGTCTGGCTTTAGAATTAATAAACTACTCCTAAGAAAAAAGGTGGTTCCAAAGACAGAATTAAAAACAGCTGCTTCTACCACACACACATCTCCCCCCCCTCCCCACAGTATGATAAAAAGATATGCTGTTGTCTAACTAGTCAGGTTCATACAGAGACAAAAATGTGATAAAAACACTCAAGCGCCGGATCTTTTGACGATCACCTGGTTGCATTCATTCTTCCTCAGGGTCGTTCGACCCCACCCCTGCCAGCAAGATCCCTTTCGTGGGCACAGGTGGGTTTACCTCCACGATCCCAGTTTTAATGCACGGAAGGCTAAGCCCAGATCTGTAGAGAGGAAAGCCAAGCACAGGGGGCGAATGCAAGAGAATTCCAATTTCTACTGTAATCCAAAGAAATTCTGATGGTACTGACACAGAGCCGAGACTGCTTCCGCCCCGATGGCACAGCTACCAAAATTACCCAAGGAAGTGGCCTGCCCAACCTTTGGGCCCTTTATAGACCCCCTCCTGTGTGGGATGTCTGTTTTATGGGTGAACTTGCTCAGCTCAAGGGTGAGATGATGGCCCCAGAGCGCCCCGGTCCTCCCAGAGCTCACGCCATGGCTGTGTGTAAGTGGGCAGCTGCCAGAGGTCCAACGGCTGCAGGTCCCTGCTACGGATTGGGCCCCCTGACCGACACATCTCCTTTTCAACTATTAAAACAGCCCAAATCTGGCAGGGAAGACAGCAATCCTAGAACACCAGGAGCGCTGGAGATTGTTGTTTTTTTTACCCCCCAGACCTTGGCCTTTTGGCAAAGCCATCTTGGTTGCGCAGAAGAAGGCGGGTGCAGCCCCCCCAGCCCCCCTGCCCTGGAGGCAGACTCCTTTTTAAAGTGGGCTACATGTGGCGGGTAAGGACTTGAAGGTGCTTGGCTGTTCCAAAACCAGGAGCACTGGAGATTGTTTTTTTTTTACCCCCCAGACCTTGGCCTTTTGGCAAAGCCATCTTGGTTTTGCAGAAGAAGGAGGGTGCAGCCCCCCCCAGCCCCCCCTGCCCTGGAGGCAGAGTCCTTTTTAAAGGGGGCTACATGTGGCGGGTAAGGACTTGCAGGTGCTTGGCTGTTCCTTCAAACGACGCCCCCCTCGGCATGAATTCTGCATAGCTTCGCCTACCGTCTGCTAGCCCCCAACACACAATGGAGGTAGGAGGAAGAAGGGGTCAGGGGAGGGGAAACAGGAGCGCCGTCTTACTCTCAGGGTGTGGTCCCAGGATCCGGAGCAGAAGGCGGTCCCATCGGGAGAAACCCTCAAGGTGCTGACGCGATTCTCGTGGCCAAACAGAATCGACACCCGGGACCCTTTCAGGACGTCCCACACGTTGATGGTGTAGTCATTGTAGCCGGCAAAGAGCAAGCGGCCTGCCAGACAGACGGCACACGTTGAGAAAAGACAGAGAAATGGAAAAGGCAAGGCACACACCCGACACACACACCCGGCACCGGGCCCTTTGGCCAGCCTTCAGGCGCTGCGGCTGAGCGAGTGGACTTCCCAAGCAGGTTCGCGGACAGAGAGCGGAGGGAGCAGAGACGGCCCGAAAGCAAACTTGGAAAAAGCAACCAGAAAGGAAGTTTTCTCACTTTCTCTCCAGCTACTCGGGAGAAGGCTGAGCAGGACGACTGAGCCGTCGTTCCCTTCAAGTGGGAGAGGGAAAAGCAGAGCTCCAGCGACAACGGGAGGGGCCACACAATCCACAGCCCTAAAAACCACACTCCAGTGGTTGTGCAGAGAGGCAGCCTGGAGAGAAGGGGGGGCGCCCTCTTGGACTCTGGCTCTCCAGGTGATGGGGGCAGGGATGGCGCGTGGGGGGGCACCTCGTCCCCTCTCTTTGCAGCTCAGTTCGACCCTGAACACCTGCAGAGGGTGGAGAGGATGCTCACGTGCAAGGGGCACCTGCCGTGGCTGACCCACAACCACCCTTCCTTCCTCAAGCAGGAACTGGAACTGTGTTGGCAGGTCACGGTTTCAAGTAACCTGGACCGGAGAGGAGGGCCCGGGGCCCGCCTGGCCGTGCCTCAGCCCAGACCGTGCTTGGCAGCCGGCCTCGCGCTGCCTCCCCCACGTTCTTCCCAAGGTTTCCCGGTGCAGGAGTGAGGAGAGAGACGGGGGAGCTGCTCCCTGCTGCCTCCCCACCCAGCGGGACCCAAGATGGTAGCACGCAAAGGGTTGGGGGGGGTCTCTTCTAAGAACAAACTACTTCCCTCCCCAGGGCAGGGACAGGGCAGATGGCTTTCCAGACACCACTGGATGACGATACCCGTGAGCCCCAGCCAAGATTGGCAACGCTCCGGAACGGCCGCACCCCAGGCCCCAGGCCATATTGTCAGGGGCTGATGGGACCTGGCGTCCCCCACACATTCCCCACCCTCAAGGGAAAGAGGCAGAGTGAGCACCCTCAGCCCCTCCGGCACGTTCCCCTCACAAAAGCGCCTCACCACTGAGAGAGAAGTCCACGCTTGATGCCCCAAAAATGATGCTCTCCTTGGAATAAATGGCCACCTCTCTGTCCGCTCGGAGGTCATACAAACGGCACTGCCAGGAAAGAGGGAACAGTTATGGTGCTCAGAGGGGGTGTTTCTTCCTTCACAAAAGGAAAGGAACCGTCACCCTGCGGGCTTTCTGGGGAACCCACAACCACCCTCACGACACCTGTAAGCACAAACACCCTGTCGTGCATGTGAGAAAACACCAGCCAATTCATGTGACCTGGGAAGCGTCTGGGCCAGACTCCCTTCAACGCTGTTGATGCTCCAACTTATGCTACCTCTAGCCATGAGACAATGCTGGCTGGGGCTGATGGAACTCGTATTTAAAAACATCTCAAGGGCACCCAAACAGGGAAGGCAAACAAAGACCCACCAACAACTCTGTGCATGCAAGCTTTCTGGAGATAAGCCACTGACAACCAAGATTCTGTTGTGCGGTTACACAAAAAGGTGTAACTTTTAGGGTGAGTTGCCATTAAGTTAAGAACCCTCCATAGGCAGGATCTGTTTCATATTGAGCCACAACTGGGCTAATATTGCATTTGAGCAAGTATTTATAGTCTGCAATTCTAGGTTATTTGCAGTAGACATTTTAAGAGGCTACCTAGAATGTAGCCTCTTTTTATCGGGACTGTTAGCGTCCCTAACTTGTTTTGAGCACTAGTGGGGGGTATTAATGGAATACATACTTACATACATACATTAAATCTTGGGATAGAGCTACCAGGTCTTATGAATGAAAGTGATTTATTCTAGGGTTATTCCTCCCAAAAAAGTAAGTGTGCATAAGATGTTGGCATTTAATCATGAAAATGCACACCCTGCCTTTTTAGAAAAAAAAACACACCACCAAACAGCCAAGGTGATTTACACTCGTAATTAAAGCCACCAATTATAGCAGATGCCTGTTTTACTGATGAGGAATCATCATTCCAGCTTTTTGATATCTGCCACCAGGATTCTCTGATTATTGCTGCCTGAGAGATCTATGTTAGCTGACAGGAGAGATTAAGAGTCAACAGAAGCTTTTAGGCATCTATAAATGGAAAGCAATCTCCTCGGAAATGGAGATGATGCATTGCCACCCGAAATCAATGGGACCATTTTTAAAGTCTGATTGCAAAAGACTGGCAGCTGAGCCCTTAAGTGTCTTTAAGTGCAGGAACAGCTGAAAAGAAAGGGGAGCAGGTCCTCCCAATTTACAAGGTGCTGTTCTTGGCTGGGGCGGCAGAAATGCCTTCTTCCCTAACTCCTTCTACCACATATGCCCCCCCCTCCTCCTCCAAGGGGCCCTTTTTGTGACTCTGGCCCCAGGGATCCAGAGGCGGCTGGTCTCTTTCCACAGCTTGGGAAACCAGGATTGGCGCTCCTAAAGGACTCGGCTTCACACAAACAACCTCCCCCACCCCCCGGCTGCTTTAAGTAAGTACAGTGCCAAACCGTAGCTGAATCATCACTTGGGCACAGGCTTATGCCAGGGTGCCCACTTCAGGTTGGGAAGGCAAGCACAAACCACGGTTTGCCAATTTGGAGGTAACCACAAACTGTGATTTGCCTGCATCAGGAAGTTAGGATGGGAAGGCAAAAGGCCAAGGTTAGAACTTGTTGGGAAAATGGAGTGAAAGAGCATCAGTGTGGGTAGAGCCCTCCGTCAGGGATGCCTGGCTTGCCTTTCCAGAAGCCAGAAATTGTTCTGCTAAAGAGCGCAGGGACTTCTGCCCAGGCAGAGGCTTGCTCGGTTCCCCCCCCTGCCGGCCTCAGCGTCAGCAGCAGAGGACGGAGTGACTCTGTACGTCACGGCCTGTTCTGCTGCACATTGGCCGCCAACCAGATAGGAACTCAAGGCAGAGAAAGATAAAGCTCTGCTCCACTTTTGCACAAACGTTAGTCCTTCTGAACGCAGCCCGTGTAGTCTGCTGGACACACTTGCGTATTTTAAAACAACTTGCCTCATTTTTTTTTAAAGAGTTGTTCTGAGTGTTGTTAGTTTGCAAAAGCGCTATTTCAGCAGGGACTTCCAGGGGTCTCTTGTGCCACGACGCTGAAACCAGGCCTGACCACCCCAAGGTTTCATCAGAGGAAAGGGCAGGTGAACTGCATTAAAGAGCTGCCCAACTTACCTCTGCCACAAGCTCGGGGGGGGGGCAGAGGTCATGGAGCTCCTCCCCTCTTAATGGGGTTTTTGGAGACCAATTGGCCCCCAACGTGGGTCCAAAGAGGCTGCTGGGCTGCCCTTCCCATTTGGGCTGGGGCGCTGGGGAGCCGACTCGCCCTCCCGCCCACCCTCGGAAGAGAACCGGCTCTTCGCAAGCAACCACAGCTACATACAGTGGCATCATCCGAGCCAGAGGCGAAGGCGTCTCCACTTGGGTAGTACCTAGGCAGAGAAGGGGGAAGAGGCATGCTGTCGTCAGCAGGGCCGGAGCAGCTCCCCAGGGCTCGCAAAAGGCTTCTGGAGTCTTTGAGAAGCCAGGCTCAGCCCCCAGAGAAGATGGGTCTCCTGGACTGTCTCCGGGCCATCCCAGACGGGGTCAGGGAGCAAGATCTGCTCTGCCCAGCAGGATCTGTTCCCCAAGGAATGGCCTTCCCTCCCCTGCCAACCCCAAGCATTGGCAGGATCCAAGCCTGACCTGACGCTGTTGACGTCCGACTCGTGGGTTTCGAAGGACTGGATGCACTGGCCGGTCCGCATGTCCCACACCATGGCTTTCTTGTCACATCCCTGGAGGCAGGCGGGGGCGGGGGGGGAGAACAAAGGGGAAAAACACATGCCAGCTTACTTCCTCACAGAAGGAAGAACCTGCCCAAAGGCTCATGGAGCTGAAGAGGGTTTTTTTTTTGGGGGGGGGAAGAGACAGAGCTTCAGCAAGCATCTGAAAACGCTCCTTCATTGAATGAGCCTTCGCAGTTCCATGTCGGTGAACCCAGAGATGAGAAATGTTCCTTTGGGGACATTTCGGCAGCAGGTATTCTTGGAGGGATCGGCCCAGAATGGAACTCGCCCCCCCCCAATCCTATCTTGCAGGGATTAACAGTCTGCCTTAGAATTATGGGAGAAGGGCCAGTCCTTGCACTACGCCCTAGGCGGACTCTGGGGAGGGCAGAGGGGGGACCGGTGGGGCAGGACATGGCTGCCTGGTGGATTCCGGCCAGCCCAGCCCAGCCCACTTCCTCCATAGCCGGTTGGTTGGCCGTTCAATCCCCCTCCTAGGAGGCTGGTCATCTGGGGAGGCCCTGAAGCACTTCCTGCTGGAGGCCTCCAGCATGCTTTCGTGAACGAGAGGGGTGAAGGCTCAGCACCTCCCCAGACGACGAAGCGCAGGGCCCGTCAGGCTCGATCCCTTGCCAAGCATGCAAAGTCAACCTGCTGGCCCTTCGAGGCCCCTTCCTGCTCCTGGATTCTACGGTTCTACCCAGGCAGTGTGGACACCCCCCCGTGTCCCTTCTGGACTGCCCTCCTGGCGCATTATTTGCCCCTCGCCCCGTGGCCCAAGGACACTCACACGCAACACAATCCCCCTCCCTTCACCCTGCACGGACACGAGGCTGCCTTACCCCGGACACAAAGGTGTTGCCTGTTTCCGAAGGTGCCAAATCCAGGCACAAGACGTCCGCCCCGTGGCCATGGAAGCTCTGGAGCAGCTGCCCGCTCTCCACGTCCCACAGGGCACACGTCCCGTCTCCGCTTGCCGTCAAGATCTTTTTTTTGGGGAAGAAGGCAACATGGGTTATGAAAAGAAGGGCGCCGACCGCATAAAGGTGAAGCCACTGATTCTTTCACCCTGGCGCATTATTTGCCCCTCACCCCGTGGCCCAAGGACACTCACACGCAACACAATCCCCCTCCCTTCACCCTGCACGGACACGAGGCTGCCTTACCCCGGACACAAAGGTGTTGCCTGTTTCCGAAGGTGCCAAATCCAGGCACAAGACGTCCGCCCCGTGGCCATGGAAGCTCTGGAGCAGCTGCCCGCTCTCCACGTCCCACAGGGCACACGTCCCGTCTCCGCTTGCCGTCAAGATCTTTTTTTTGGGGGGGGAGACAGAGGGAAACGGAAAGAAGGCAACGTGGGTTATGAAAAGAAGGGCGCCGGCCACATAAAGGTGAAGCCACTGATTCTTTCACCTCCCCCACTGATTCTCCTGCCTCTGATTCACCTCCTCCTTATTTTGACTTCCTGATTCAGGTGAAAGCACAGACTGGCTTATTCATGTTTTTGAACGATGCTGGCTAGAATCCTGATCTTTGTGTGATCCCCATCCAGAGCTGATGGTTTTTAATATCGCTATTTCCATATGTGTTTTCTATTTTATGAGATTACAACCCACCCATAGTAGCGCTGTGATACTAACAGGAGCAGGATAGAAATTGAACAAGCCTATAAAATAAATAAATAAAAATATTCTGGGAAAACAAAGCTTGTTCTTTGTAGTTCTTCTGTAAATCACCCAGGGGCAGAAATAAGCACCAGGCCCCCACCCCTGACAGCCTTGCTCTGGAACGACCGGGGCCTCCTTTCCGGAAAGCCCAAAGCTGCCTGCCTGAGCTGCGCGCCTCCTCCCGCTCGGGCCAGCCCTGCGCTTCCAGCCTTCAGGTCTCTCTGATAAAAGGCTGGCCCGCTTAGGCCTCCACATCTGCCTCTCCTTTCAGCCAGATAAGAGGATGATCCATTTTTAGCACCAAACTCTTCTCTTTCAATCCACCGAGAGAGATGGCAGAGGTCGCTCACTGCACGGTTGGCATTTGGTGGTCGCCTGCGACTGTCCCCCGGGCTCCCTCATCGGCCCCTTGCAGATGCCTTTTCATGGGCCTGTGAAAAGGCCGGAGGGTCACCTCTCCCGATTTGGGGGGGGCGGGAGGGCTGCGAGCAGGGGTCAGTCTGGGGCATCAAAGGGAAGCCCAGGGTGTGAAAAGGCGGTGCAGAGGAAGGAAGTCAACCCTGAGAAAGGCCCACAGCCCCCCCCCACTTCCGGGCCGCAAAGGCCGCTGCCCTAGCCCTTCCCAGGCAAATGGGCAGGTTTGGAAGGGCCATGCCCAGAGGCCCACCCCCAGGGAGGAAAGCCAGGATCCCACAGAAACCGAGATCTCAAGGCCACCCTCCGGTTTCCCTCCTCAGCGGCAGAGTGGGAGGGGAGAGAGACCCCACAAGGCCAGCTTTGCTTGGGCAGGTCTGTCAAATCTCATATCCACTTCCTGATGTATCCCCAAAAGCAATTGGGGGGGGTTTCTCCTCTCTTCTCACCATCAGGCAGCCCCCCCCCGGTCAACCAGACCCATGTGCTGGGGCATGGTGGAGGTGAGCAGCCGAAACCCTCTGGAGGCCAGAGACGACGCCTCCCCAAGCACAACACCCCTGCCGCTCGGTCCGGGCGCCTCCACCCTCGGCTGCCCACCACCAGCCTCAGGAGGCCCTTGCCTGCATGTCGGAGTTGGTGAAGCTGCAAGCGGACAGGTAGTTGGTGTGCATGGCCACCGACTTCTTCTTGGCCGCCATGTTCTCGTTTTTTTCGAACGTCAGTGGGTAGACGGAGCATTTGTTGTCGAGGCCCCTAGAGTCGGAAACCAGGAGGAGGGAAAGAGTCTGCTTGAGCCTCCGTTTCGTAACATCATCATCATCATCATTGGAAGCCTCTGTTCTGACTCACCTGGCCTTCCCGGAGGGGCAGCAGGGAGGAGACAAAGGGGAGCAGAGTTCAAGGCCAAGCCGAGGCAGTGAGGGAGGAAGGGGAAGAGCTACAGACATTGCAAGAAAGCCCCCGCCGTGCAAAAGGTGCCCTGGAAGCTGCAGTGGCCAGCTCGGTCTGGCCCACCAAAGGTACCCCTTAAGAGTAAAGATCCAACCATCGTTTTGCATGCTCTGGCACCCATTGACTGGACTGTTGCCACACAGTTGATAGGGGGCTACCCTTGAAGACAAGTTAAGAGCTTTGGCTGGTCTAGCATGGGACAGACCTCATGCCAGGTTCCGGGGAACACGGGTCCTTCCCAAAATCCACCGGTTCTAAGTTTTGTTTCTTTTGCAAACCGATGCCCCAGGAGTGACGTTTAAAAAGCACTAACCATCCCAAGACTGGGTTAAATCAGGGCGGCTTTACTCAGAGGGTAAAGCTGAGTTTCTTGCTTTTTGGTTAAAAGATGCTCCAGGGGGGAATACAGCAGAAGAACAAGCTTCTCCATGTGGATATAAAATGCATTAAGGATCGTATTGTGAAAAATGTCTCTGCACATCCAGAGTAGAACTAAAGTTTGGTTCTCTTGGTCAAAACAAGGAAATCCCAGGTCCTTTCATTAATTAATGCTTCCACTTACCCGCAAGCGATGGCGCATCCTGATGGGGCATAGGCGCACGCCATCACCCAAGTACATGGCATTGTCACGGCATGTTCCTGAAATACAAAGCATGCTTTCCGACTCCTGACTCTCTTTCCAAAATGTCCCTGGCAGCCACCTCTCTCTCCCCCACCCCGGCCCCCATAAATGGGACGAAGCTCCAGGAAGGAGCAGTCCTCTGATCCTCGCCATGGCAGAAAAACGGGAAATAGCTGCCATCTGCCCGTCAGTGCGCCGTGTGAACGTACAGGAATGCCCAGGGCACAGAGTGTTCTGGGGAGAGAAACCCCTTGGCTCCTATCGCAGGCCTTCCTTCCTTCCTTCCTTCCTTCCTCCTTGGCTCCTATCACAGGCCTTCCTTCCTTCCTTCCTTCCGAGACAAAAGCAAGTCAAAGGCAAACAAGAAAGGAAGGAGGAAGACAAGGAGCTACAAAGTTTCACTTTTTACCTTTCTCTCATTATTGGGAAGTAACAAAGATCTCCTTGTTTGCTTTTGTCTTCCTTTCTGACACTAAGGCAGGCCCTTCCCCCCCTTCCTCTGTGCCAGGTTGGAGCTCAGAAGAAAGGAAGAGTATCACTCTTAGCATTTGGGAAAAAAGGGGATTTAAAAAATAATTTTTAAAAAGCTATAAATTCCACTTGGCACCCCCAGCTGGCACGGGGCAGCGGCCCAGTCAGGCTCCGAGAGTCCTCCAAAGAAGCCAGGTCTTAAGGCTCTGCTTGCCTGCCACCCCCGGCTGGCACGGGGCAGCCGCCCAGTCAGGCTCCGAGAGTCTTCCTCCAAAAAAGCCAGGTCTTAAGGCTCTGCTTGCCTGCACCCGCTTCTGCGAAGCATGGCACAGGGCATTTTTTTTGGGGGGGGGAAGTGAAGCACAACAGACTGGCCCCAAACGCAGCAGTTGGGGGTGCCTGGCCTTAAGCGCCAGAGGCCGCCCGAGGGTCTCAAAAGGGAAGCTGTATGAGCTGAGAAAAGTCCCGGCCCCTCCTGCGGCCTCCCCAGGGTTTAGAAGGTGCTCAGCAGAGCTAGAATGGATCCGTGGGGACAAAGAAGCCCCTTTCCAGCCCCCCACCGCACCCCACCCATTGCAGGGCTGCCCCGCTCAGCCTTCCTCCAGCCCCGAGGACCACCAGCTGCAGGAACCCCCTCACCTTGTTGGTTGTGAAGCCGTCCCAAACGATCACCTTGCCGTCCTGAAAGAGAAAGCAGGGAGGGAAACGCACGTCAAGGCCTCGTTCAGAGATTCCAGGAGGGAGTGGGGAGTGGCGGCCGGCCTTGAGAGGAGACACGGAGGAGGGACCCTCGGGAGCTGCAGTCCAAATCCTTTGAGTCCCCCCACACACACACCTGCCCCCTTCCTCCTGCAATCTTCTGGCAAAGAAAGAACTCATCCCCCCCCATGGCTCCCCTTTTCACCCCACAGATACCTGCCTGCAAAGGTACAACACAGCAAGCTCAGCCACTCTGCTTTGAGGGGGTTCCACTTCCCCCCCCCCCAAGACTAAGTTTTCTTCTGATAGCTGCTGCCAAGTGGGGGAGAAGCCCTTGGGCTGTGGCTCTCCTGGGACAGGGAGATCCAGGAAACCCCCCCCCTTCAAACTGTTGCACCCCTGAGGAGCCCCAGCAGGCCCCACAGCTTGAGAAAGAAAGTGTGTGTGTGCGCGTGTGTGTTTAAAGGGACCATCAGGCCCAATATGTATTAGCTCTGCTGGCTGGTGGATTCTGGGCATGGTAGACCCCAAAAAGTGACTTTCCCAGGCGCTGGAGCCCCCCTGCTTTCCCCGAGCGCTGCTGGGGCTGCCCCCTCCACGCTGAGGTCCTTGGGAGTGGCTCCCCCTTCCCTTCTTCTGGGGACATTTCCGGGACTTTGCCCCCGCTTGCCCCCCCTCCAAA